CTCTGTCGGACTACAACATCCAGAAGGAGTCCACCCTCCACTTGGTCTTGCGCTTGCGCTGAGGTATTAGAATGGCTTTTGCTGTCGTTTCAGCGCTTGCTGAGCAAGATTGGATGCAGGGAAACATGTTGTCATAGTTCAACTGTGTTAGTATCTAGACCATGAAGGCCTTTAGACAATAACTGTTTTGTTTCATTCTTGCATCCCGCTGAAGCCGAGAAAGAAGAGCGTTTAAAGGGAATCTTCGAACTTGGAACTTACCAACAGGTTGGTGCTTTCCTGGCGATCTAGCATGATTTAGACCTAAATTGTTGGCATTTTTCCAAGTTTGTCCCTGCCAAGTTTTGCTTGGACAGTACATCCGATGCATCGTGTAGACCACGCCTGTTTCTACTTGAGCCAGGAATCAACTTGTTGTGAGTTCGGACGCATATGTACACAGTCAGCTTTGGTGCTTTGAGCACATCTGCTCATAAAGATGTGGATGGCATTCAAGGGCTGGGGCATTGTACAGATTTGACTGTGAGTCCTCCTTGACTGTCCTGATCTCAGGATATCTCAGGCAGGTCGAGTCGAGCAAAAGATCTTGTGAAAGTGCCTTCAGTTGAATCTTCGTCTCATGCAGCAGGAGCGGCAACTCCAAGACTCATCATCTTGGCTGTTCCTCTGAAACGTCCAGAGGGTTGGGCTCCTGGTTTTGATGATGTTCCTCTACAAGCCAGTGGAGACGATTGGATACATGGGTTTCCCTGTTGCATTACTTGACGCCACGATGGTGGCATGGCACAGCAAAACCGCTGATGCAACTGTCATACACCTGGCACGTTTGGCGAGGTATGGCGCACACGTCTTTTGGATGATCAAGGCAGGATTTCCGATCACCCCATCGTGTTGAGCCTTTTGATATATATATATATATAATATATACATTTTTCATTATCTTATATTGTGTATGAATTATATGACCTTGTTGACTACCCCTTTGAGGCTTGTAATGATTTGTTCACGACTTCTTTCTGAAACCTGATTATAGGCACTAGAATCATGTTAGGGTAAGAATTTTGACCTTGCCACTTGGTTTGGCGCGTGTGTGGAGGTTGTGTTTCAAGCCTCACCCCACACCAAAAGAGTGCACCACTCCAGAGATACAGCCTACACGTGAGTTTCCAACCTCCATGTCAATCCGAGCATGTCAGCCCTGCGTCTTCCTCCCCAAATTCCCCACAAAGACGTGGTCTCATCTCGAAACCAGGAGATCGGCTGGGTACTCCTGGTCCCCGAAATCTGTTTGCCTGCCGGCCTGGCCGCGGGGCTCCTGATGATCATCGGCGTCATCGCTCACGCCTGCCGTCGAGACTTCGTGCCTCGGACGCTTCAGGTGTTGGGGCCGTCGATGGGGGGTCTTCGGGTCGATGGGTGTTGGTGGCTTTCCTTGGGGAAAATGGAATTGATGTGTAAATTGGTATATATCTTTATAGATTTAGCATAAGATTGATTGGTAATGCCAGATGTTTGGAGACTTTCCCTTGAGGGAAGACTTTCAGGTGTGTTAATTGTTTTGCAATGTTGTTTCTTGTTTGTTGCTTGCACCGAGCAGGAACAATCAGGGTGCAGCCTTTGGGGGAAATGCCACGGAGGCAATAATTGTATTGTTAGGAGCGATGAACCCGTGGCCAGCCCGCCTTCATGAATATAGTTGTTGCCACTTGTACACGTTGGGTTATTTCGACAGATGGGCCACTGAGCTGTACTGAGCCCTGACTGGTGATGAAGCCGAAGGCCAATGTTCTTCCAGAGATGGTGATGTGCATTTGGCTATGCTCCAACGTGACCTGGATGGCCAGTCACTTGGAGCTGGTTACTGGGCGGTTTGGGCCCGATGACATTGGATGACATGAGGAAGGAGCTCTTGGCGGTGGGAGGCACAACCTACCCTCTACTTGGGTGCAGTGGCTTGTTCGCTTGAGACCTTTACAAAGAAGCACAATCATCCCTTTGGTCATTTTCCTCAAGGACAACTCCAAGACTGGTCTCGTTTTGTCGAGAAACTGCTTGATCAGCACCAGTGAACTCGCATAGTCATCACCCACCTGAGAGCCCCCGCGCCAGTTGATCAGAGAAATGTCACACAGGTATGAAACTCGGGGCCAACTGAGGCACAGGCACAGGTGACACAACCGGTTCGAAACCCTCAACACATGTGTTGCTCACCAGCTCTAACTAGCAGCTTCAGAGGACCAATGTGAGTACCCACAAGTCGTGTGTACGTCAAAACCTGTCCCATTTTCACCCCTCTTATATACCTCACTGGTCTAATCAACTGGTCATTCTACCTTACATTTTTCCAGTTTTATTTATTCCTTTGTATATGTATTGTGTATATATATATATAAATATGTGTGTGTTTTTCCTCGAAACAGACCTGAACATCTCAGGTGAGGTGCTGATGGACGACCCGGACGCCAAGTTCTCGTGGCACTTGTGCCCGGTGCTCCACGGCGATCATCAGCGACTCGGTACGACCGGTGACCGACCGCGCCGAGGCGTCGCGGGTTTCGGCTTTGATGCGCGACGGAGGGGAGGGATTGATTTGTGGAAGGCCTTCTTGGTTTTAAAAAGACAATGAGAGGGCTTTTGGCTTTTTCCCTGATGAGCCTGGTAAAAAATGGAGATTCTATTGCAATATGATGCAGAATGTATCCTTTGTTTGGCTTCAGTGAAGGGTTCCAGTTGATACACATTCCTCATTTCGCCATTCTTAACCATTGACATATATTGACATAGTTGCCACTTGCACCACAGTTGTCTTACTAGCCCTGCTTCAGCTGTGAGCAGCACTTGTAAACCTGAAATTGTCTCTTGGGTGCTTCTTTCCTTGTCCTGTAGGGCAGTCCCACGTGTTAGCACCGGATGACTGAGGTCAGAGTACGACACTATGTCCGTCATGGTCGCAGACGGCTTTCTGCTTTCTGCGGGTCTATATGTGTGTCTCAGATGGAATTTGAGAAGATGTCACTGCCAGATTCAGTAGGACTCAGTAGGAACACCTTGCTATCACTCAGGGCCTTAGGGCTAAATAGCAGTACTTGGAGGCATGCGAGGCATGCATTTTCCTAGAATGACTTCTTGGGTTCGGAGATCTTCATTGTGAGAGGTTCACAGAACCAAGAGTTCAACGCAAAGAAGCGCGTTTCGTCGATCTTGCTCCAAAAGGCCATTTTGTCCAAGTGTTGTTGTTTCATGTTGTTTCAACAATCTCATTGGCTTGTTCATGGCACGGGTAGCAACTTGAGGGCGAACATTTCCCCCCCCAGCTTGATGCCTGCTACTGCTACATGCCCCAGGCTTGGTGTGGCGTATCTCATTTGCGTACACCGTCGTTTGAAGGGCCCTGTGGGACGCGTCCTGCTGCAGTGCGCCTTGGCCAAGAAAAGCAGTGCTCAAGGAACCAGGTGCTTCCTCCAGTCCAGCACCAAACCAACCCTGTGAGTCCACCATGTCACCAAACCCCCGGTCCCCTGGTTTTTGGTCTTCAAAGGTTGTGAGTGATACTGCGAGGGCAATACAGGTAGTCGACTTCGCGTGGCCACAAATGTTTCTCACGCGAAATAGACTACTGAGGCACTGCTGGCAAAATGCACTATATAAATGCACTTCTTGAGCCAAATGGATCTCACACTGCTTTGCGCTATCACGTGAGGCTACCTTTGCAGCTGGTGCTTGAAGGTGTGACGATCGAAGCAAGCTGTGGGCGGGTTTTCCCCGGTCCCCACCGGTTGGCGCCACCGGGTTTGTGTGCAGCAAAAAAGATGCAGCATGACTCAGGCCTCAGGATGCCTCAGGTGATTATAACCTCCAAAGTTTTAGATCCGGCAAGGTGGTCTCGATTCGCTTGTTTGATTCGGCAGAAGTATCATATGTTTGCTAGCTAGTATGCTTTTTGCGACGTGTCGAATCCCAGTCGGACTGGCTAGCTCCATGCCAGGACTACTTTTGGGCCGACGAGGATTTTTGGCCGGCCATTTCTACTGACCTGGTCACTGTGCAGCCCTCAGGAATTCCCAGACTCATGAAAAAGCCAGACGTGCTGAAGAGCAAGATCGTGAAAAAGAAGCAAGTAAGCAAGAATAAGCAAGATTTGCAGGGATGGGTGTGTAGAATGTTCTTCGTGCCAGGAGCCTTTCTTATCTTTGTTCGACCATCGGGCGACTATCGTTGCGCTCACGGAACATGCAGTTTTTCAGGTGCCCATGCTGCTCTACAACATTCACCTCGAATCAGGACCTCGACGGTCCATGGAGGTCCGTGGAGGTCCATGACAGTCACATGACATCATCGTGTGGAAAACGCAAGGTCCTGGAGCTTATGGACTCCATGATACTCCATGATGAAGTCATGATATGTTATACTTACAGATCATGTATATATATATATATACAACTTATGTAGCATAACAAGGTCATGAGTATATATGTTGTACTCAAAGATCTCGAAGAGCCTTTTTGTTTTCAAGCTGGAATCCACCATGGTGAACTGCCGCAATTGTGCGGCTGGCGGCCAAAGAGAAGTTCAACTCACTGCCCTAAATAACTGCTTGTTATATTTTGTGATGAACTTGTACCAAGCTGTTATTATATATTTGGATTTATTTGGGTCATGTACATTTGTTGAGCACCAATTTGACAGAACCGTGCAGACTATGCACAACATGTGACACTCACTTGTTCAGTATGTTTGCAATTGTCACTGGATGTTCTTCAGATTTGCACAAGATCTACTCAGTCAGTTACGACCACCAGCTAGTAAATGCCGTGAATTTGAGACACCCTTCAGGACGTTCACAGAGCAATGACATGATTTCTCTTCCACAGTCGTTCCATCCCTGTGCCATATTATATATGCATGGTTTATTGGAGCACGGGCGGTTAACACCCTTACAGACAACATAGAACCACTTCCAGGCCCTTTTGTGTGTTTGGCTATGCATTTTGAAGGTTTATGTATAAGTGTCAAGTGCTTGTAGAGGGCCTGCCGGCAAGCCATAATGAGCGAGCACTTATCCTCGACCTCTCATCGACCATGTCTTGCACGAGTTCGGATTCTACAGGGACAACCTCTCAAAAAAGAAGGGAAGTCGCTGCGCAGGAATTTGTTCGGCATCCCTTGCGAGTTTCGCTTGGCTTTCATGGACTTTGGCGAATGGCATTTGGATTGTGGGAGAGCTGCTCGGAGTAGCAGCCAGTCGCTGGGAGCGGGTGGAACCGGTGAAAATGTTGTCATTCGGCAGCCGTCCCCGACGGCTGCCGACGGAGCCAGTTGCAGAAGCAACCCCAACCATTATATGAATGAATCACTTTGTCCATTTTTGTCCGAGAAACACCGGAAACACCTCACAAAATTACCAAAGGATCCAAAGGTTCATCATGAAGCAATGCACACACTTTGGCCTCCTGCCTTTTTATTCTAACGTCATAAGTGATTTATCTCGGCTCTCCACAGCCAGCGAATTGCGCCGAACGAGGTTTAGGAGCCGAACGAGTATGATGCATTGTTCGTGCACCACTTACCTGCAATCCACCACTATCGCAAAGGTGTCTCGAAATGATCGGAGGCAGTCAAGCAGTCATCTAACAATTCCTTCATGGCGTCATTGGCCCAAGGCTCAAGTTTCCTGGGGAGACTGGATTCAACATCAGTGCTGCGTGCTTGCTCACGTTGGCACTGGATACTTGGCTTGAACAAGAGTAAGTTGGCTTAAACAGCATTGGCTTGAGAGCCGCCTCGAGATCCAGAGGTGGACAAATATCAGTCTTGCACATTGTAGTGCCATCATTCAGCCATCTAGAGCATCGTGCTGTACATGTGTTGTTTGATTCTTTTGTTTCCAGTCAGACCCTACTGGACTACCAGTGCCACTATCAGGTCTTCCTTGGCACGGGCTACCAGGCTTACAAGGCGGGGTCTTGTCAGGCGAAGTCGTTGATGATGTCTTAGATGAGTGTTAGAGTGCTGCAGACAGACTGGTGGTCAGCAGGGAATCCAGAAAATGAGTCAGAGGGTCCTTTGGATCCATTCCGAAATGTCCTTGCATGTGCTTGCTAATAATAAGCTGCTAAGCACCAGTCAGCAAAGTAGTTTGCAAAAATATAGAACTCTAGCTGCATCTTGCTACGTTGGTGCAAGTCGCAAATAACATGTCACATCGGTGTTGTGTGGCACTTTTTGCCCACTTGCTGAGCTGGTAGCCAACATTACAACGTACCCCCCTCCCACATACCATCTGAGATGGAAACGCTCAGGGCTCGACTTGCAGAGCTCGTTTATGGACTGTAGGATTCTCACAATGACCTAAGGACCGTACACAAAACCATACAAAACCCGAATGGCTACTCGCGATACGGATCGCATGTCCTGGTGAGGTTCTCAGGAAGTCTTCCAGTTCCAGTCTGTTTATGGAATGGTTTGCTCTTCGTCCACTTGCGTGTGAGGCCAGTGAGCGTGTGGACTTGTGCCCCGACAGCAGCAGCGAGGACAGCTGTGACAGCATCAGCGCGAATGAGTCCTGCTAGAGTGGCACCGATTTAATGCCAAGAGAGCAGCCCAGAGTTGCTTGGATCATCTCCATGGTGTAAGTCCTGTTCGGTTTCCAAAATAAATAGTTCAGGGACTTGATAGCATTGTCCTGGTGAGCAATTGCTTTCAATGCTTTGGAGGATGATCCTGCTTTGGAAATGCATCGTGCACGGTACCGTTTCACCATTTTGCTAGCAAATGGCTCCACTCCGAGGTTTGATCAACACCAGTTGTACCTCGAAGAATGGCCGGCAAACGCTGGTAATGCAAAACGTCGTTTCCAGATTGAGTGAGCCATAGATGAGGAGTAAAAGTTCAAAGGGAGGTGTATATCCATCCAACACGCCAGAGGGTAAGTGCTATACATGTAACTGGCAGAAGAAAACACCAAACACCGTATAGAAAAACTGGAATGTGTGACCTTTGTAGCAAGTAGGGTACGAACAAGGCTTTGCACGTGGTGCAGGATGCTTTTTCCCAGCTTTGGCAGACGAACCTTGTGCATGTACGCGGCGTCCTGTTTCCATCAGCCCGAACAATTGCAAGCTGTCGGCCAGCCCTTTCCCATGATCACCCGTCGCCCAACGCTGCTGCCAGTACTGTGTTTGGCCTTGATGCGAGGAGCGCTGACAGAGATGAACATGAACTAACTTGCATAGTCTTCACCTGTGAAGAGACAGATCAGTTCCGCAACCTTCGCTCCTTCGAATGCACCGTGCTTCATGTTTCCATCATACTCATACATATATATATATATATAATTAATTATAATTAGGTGGGAACTGATGTCCTCTAGCCAACAAACTTGGAAGTGGTAACACACCCCGTGTTTTGGCGCCCATGTTCCACTGCCATGAGTCATAAACGGGGACCACCTTGAGCACCCCACGGATCAACCACGGCGGACGAGCGAGCTGGCCCCTTCGTTCCAGCTCCAGGAATGCCGACGGCGACGATCTACTCGGGCATCCTAGGCGGGTGAAGATGTCATACGTCACATACATTCACTCGATTTCACTCGTGAAGATGGATCACGGGAGAGTTGAGAGAGAGAGAGAGTGTGGGAAAACGAGAAGGGTGTTCAGAAAGGTCATCATTGGTCTCTCATGGTTAACGATCTTTTGTCCTGCAATCGGTTTCTATGATTCATAGTCTTCAAATGTGAGCATTTGTTGCGTTGCCCATTTAGCCTTGGTCCTTCGACATGTTCTCCACTTCCATTTACCACCATCCGTCTCAGCACCAGTTCAGCTGCAGCTCGATTTCTTGTGGCCCTCCATCACTGGGTCAATACAGCACTTGTATCATCTTGTATCAATTAACTGCATGTGCGGGATCTTGCAGGCTGCTTGCGAACTGCTTCACATGTTTGTCCCATCCCGCACTCCAGGGCCCTTGCTGGGCCGATCAGTTCTCCGGCCACCGCCCCGCACCACGCGGACACCACCAGCTGAGCCACCTCCAGTGCCCGCAGAGCACCCGGCAGAGCCTGCAGAGGATCCACATGTGTGGCTTCGTCCACGCACGTTTCGTCGATTGTTTGGGTGGGTGAAGTCCGGACGAACTCCTGGCTTTTTAGGTGTCCCGGAACGTGTCCCAACCTCCGATTGGGGGGGCACTTTCTGAAAATGCACCAGTCACCAGACTATAGATGGACAGCAGGTCACCAGGAGTGTCACCAGGTGATGCCCCACCAGGTGATGTGATGATCCATGAAATCCCTAAAGATGGACCCCTTCCCTAAAGTCGCCCGGGTATGTTTTCTTGACGTTGAACATCTTCAAGGATTTGTTGTTAGACTGGGATTGTAAAAATCTAGTAGGGTTAGCAACTCGCCACGCGAAAGCAGAGGTCCATCCATAATGTGTTTGGCCCAATCCTTCGGTGATGGGGCCATGGCCTCGTTGAAAGCAGCAGGCCAACGGAGAGTAAGTCGCCCGGACGCGAACTCAGGAGACGTTTGGTGGAAAATGTGGAGACCTCAAGACATCCACAGGCTCGGCGAGCTCCGACAGGCTAAGGGGATAGAGGATGAGGTGCAGTAAGTATCTGAACAATAGGGTGCAATGCTCTCCAGTCTCTAGTCTGCAAATTAATATGCGGCTGCGGATGCATTCACACTATGTGTAGGATCCACTGGAGATGTACCGCCATTGATATTTTCAGACCCAAGTTCTGCTTTGGCCAGGGGTGTAGTGGCCTAGGTCATCAAAGACGGTAGCTCAGCAAGCTTGAACCGTCCTCTTTGCGTTATACCGTTATACGTTTGTGGACTTTATATAATGCTGAGGAACACGCGGAACACGGAATCCTGAGAAGTACACGGGCTATCACGGGCTATACTTGGCTGAAGAGCTACGGGCTGATGCTGCGATTGCACGTGCACTGACTGATGAACAATGTGGACATACATGATACGGAAGCAGGCTTTTGCATCCGGCCTACCTCATTTGATCTTCCATTGTGGAAGACATTCCAACCATGCCTGAACGTGCTTTGATGCGTTCACTTGGTCGGCCTAACAGCTCAGAATCTCAATTCTCCACATCACCCCAACGTCTCACCTTGTCACGCTTGATTCACTTCATCTTCACATCCTCAGCTTCTGGTCCCTGGTCCCGTGTCCCATAATCCTGAGTAAGAGTAGTCCCGTGTTCCACCATTTGACACCGAGGACGATTAACATGTAACCACTCATGTAACCTATGTAACCTGAACATGGACCTTTGGAAGACCATAGCTTCCTCCACAAAACCAGGGGTTTTCAATGGTTTTTCGGGCTCCATGTGGGTCTCTTGCGTCCGAGACCATCTCCACCCGTTCGCTTCAGTCGGTGGCGCCTTCACCCAGCTACGACCTGCTGGTGCTCGGCGCCGGCGTGGCGGGTCTCATCAGCTGCATCGTCGGCCGGCAGCTGGGGCGTAGCGTGGCGCTGGTGGAGCCGCGACTCGGTGGAGAAAGGACGGCCAATCGATGCATGGATGAAACATGGGAAGCAAATCATTCAGCATCGTTGAGTGGACATGACCACATCCCATTGCGATTGGTTCTTGCGATAATGCACAAAAAGGGAAAGTTAGATATTAGAATCAACAGTCTACCTTACGCACGGTTAAAATGAAGCCAGAACCCAACCACGGATACACACATGTCAAGCATTTGTCACTTGTGGATGAACACTGTGCTCACCTTTTAACCTTAACTCTTTTGCAAGACATGTGTCGTCCCGGTAGCCGCCGATAGCGTTTGGGTTTGTCAATCAGACCTTTACAGTAGTTGCAAAAGCTTCAGCAATCTATCAACCCTGCACAGCCTTAGACCGCAAATGTTCAATTTCATCATCTTCACCCATGGGCACGGCATCTTCTGAGGCACTACATGGGTGGAGACTGCCTGAACACCGGGTGTGTCCCTTCCAAAGCGTTGATCGCAGCTGCCAAGGAAGCACATCAAAGCGCTCCGAACACAGAGTCGGCGGCTGCTCAGTTCGTCGCACCTGGGGCTTAAGCTGTTCGCAGGCTGTTCTTCTGCTAATTCGTCAGACTCAGGGCAGACATTGACATTGGACATTGGAGCATCCTCAGTTCTGATTCGAATTGAGGAATGTGTCGGGAAAGTACTTTTCATCTGGCTCCATCACGGCCAATTTCTTAGTCCACTTCCACATGTGGTCTGTTTGGTTCTCTTGGGAGCGTTGCCTTGCCAATCAAGATGGTCATGGCGGCCGATGTCGATTTGGCTGAGATGCACCGAGTCAACAGGTGTTTGTTTCCGGCTTCTTCTGCAAACATGGCTGACACGAAGGCAATGAGAGGGAATGGAAAACGGCTATGAACAGCTTCTACTTTTTTTGGTGCATTCAATGCGTCAATGCTGCAGATACCTACTGCAGTCTATCAATTGATGCATGAATTATGTTTATGCCCTCCCAGAAATAATGTACAATCAAGTGACAAAGACTTTGTTTGTAGAGGATAACGGATGGTCTTCCAGGGGCAATGTCATCCACTTCCATGATTTTTCCAGGATGAGTTGTTCCTTCCAACCAACTGAGGCCGCCATGAGCCGTTTGCGGCGCATCCGCGCGGAGATCTCAGAGCACGACTCGGTGCAGCGCTACAGCACGGAGGTGGAGCCGAGCGGACTGGGATGAGTTACACTCCCGAAAGCTAATATAGACCCTGACTGTCTGGACCCCTGGAATATGGTTTTCCTCTACCAGTGGTTTTCAGGGTCCATGTTAGTCTTCCAGGGTGTAGGACCTTGAGTGACTCACCTTCACCACCTCGTGGTACCCAAAAGTTAGGACCGTGAACGGTCCAATTACTGTTAAGCAGGGCCATGCGATTTCCATTGGCCACAACAATCACACGTCGATAGGGCACTTGGGTTGTTTTGGGCCGTTGCCAGCCCCACAAGATGGCAAGTGCGGTGAACATTTGCAAAACCTGTGAGAACTCGTTGGGGGATTCGGCAGAGCAATAAGGTCACTAGTTGTCACAAGATTGCCAAAGCGATAGATAAACAATGATAAACACTACTAGTATAAGCACTAAGTGTTCCGCTCCAGTCTCCCACCGCCTCCCATCGTCGCGGCATTTGCTTCATCCAGGTTGGAGTGGACGTGATCTCCAGCCGCGCGCGCTTCGCCAGCCGACGCGAAGTCGTCCTGGAGGATGGCAGCAAGCTGCAGTTCCGGAAGTGCATCCTGGGGACTGGAGCCGCCCGGAACAAAATCCCATTTGGGGACAACTCTGTTGGGGCAACCAGTGGGTGAAAGGCTGGAATAAGTGGGTGCTTTGTCTATAGATATACCGTACATTTAACTATTGGTTTATGCTTTTGTTTGACATCATATCATTTTGTGTGTTATTGTCTAATGGTATATAGAACGTGTTAAGTAATATTTTTGATTGTCCTGGGAGGAGGGAGGGAGATAGAATAGTGAGATATATTTACACAAATGCGTAATGCGCAATATCCATTATCAGCTAGTGGCAATCATCCTCCAGAAGTTGTGTTGCTGAGGAAGCGAAGCTTGGTGCATGCAGGCTTCAGCTTCCTTCCATAAATGGTGGCAGGGTGTCCTATTCTATTTTATCATGAAGGAAATCCAGGAACTAGAAAATCCACTGTAAAAGAAAATACTGCGGTGCATATTTGTTATGCGGTCGCGGACTCACGGAATCATAAATCTTACGCCAGCTTTGGCATACCCGCAGCCCAAGGCAGCGGCTCGGATACCAAAGGTCTTGGAGGGCATTCCGCACTTGACGAATTCCAACCTGTGGAACTTGCGGGCCTTGCCACCAAGCTTGAGACCAAGCGTGCAATGGCAGGTGTTTGGTTGTTGGTGCAGCACTGGCGCACTGGTGTTTGGTTGCAAAAGTAAGACCGGGACCCAGGACCAGGATCCCACAGGTTTTGGTCGATTGATTTTACTTTTCCTTTTCTAAGGAGGCGTTCTTTTTAGCTACAGCCTGCGAACCAACAGAATACAGACGTATTCTGAATATTGCTTCTTAATTGATTGGCTTTAACATTGGATCTCTTTCCGCTCATGTCCTTCAGATGCCCTGGCCACTTCGCCGAGGATCGTTCTGGGGGCAGGACCTATTGGACTGGAACTGGCTCAAGCACTTCAGCGTTTGGGGAGCCAAGTGACCGTCGTCGTGGGCTCCTCTGGAAAGATCATGGGCAAAGAAGAGGAGGCTGCAGCTGACATTGCGCCTGATCTTGATTGACTTTGTGTGTGATGGTGTGTCCTTGTGTTGTGATGCCCACACTGGATACATGAACAAGTTCTCAAAATCTGCAGCCTTCCCGCCCTTGATAATCTTCCCAGCTTCGAAGAGGTTGGCACGTTTGCGCCAGACAGAGGCGAGAAGGAAGATGAAGATGTTGTTTTGCCTCTTTCTCAGCCATTTTTTGGAGCCTCCATTCGAACAACTTCGAGCAGTTTAAAGCAATCTACCCTGTGCCGGGTGGGGCGGAGTGGAAGGATAGAAAAGATAATAAGACATCTGTCAACACATCACAAAACATATTATAAAGTCATATGCATATAGGTATGTGTTGATTGCACATGCTGAAAGCCTGAAAGCATCCCCGACTTGCACGGCGGATGCTGGGTCCTGTTCTGATTTCAGGTTGAAACGCGTTTGAGCGTAGTCATAGTCACCCCCCTCAGCATTTCAGGTTGGTGAACAGTTTTGAGTCTCCTACATTGATCGAGCACTTGGCTTGTTTCCCGCCACGAAGGTCAAGAAGAGTATGGAAGCCGATGGTGTGAAGTTTGTCAGCAGCAAAATCCAGACGATCACTTGTAGCTCCAACAGCGAGTCTGAGTTGTATGATGAGCCCTTCGTTACCTACAGGCAAGAGACTGTCAAAGACCTTCCAAGCAACGTTGCTGTTCCATCAGGCATTCTGGTGATTGATTTGTTTGTTCGCAAGAAACCCCCAGAATGGGGGCAGCATGGGGCACGGTCCATCTTCACGAGCCAGCATCGTGCAAGGAACACTATAGCTACACACTAGCTGCACTAGCTACAAGAAGTCTTTCTGAGGGGAACCACTCAAGACAGAACGACTGAAATGGAGGATCATGGACTCGGTGATGTCATTCGATCATATTCGATCAACCACCTGGCATTTTCTGGGCTGCCTAGTTTGCAGCTCAGGTGGTTTAGCGATTGAATCTCAGGTCCGCGGCTTGAGCAAGTTAACATACAGAAAAGAATTCAACATCTCAGTGCTGTGGTGTTTGATATGCTATATAAGATGAGACCGAGCTTTAAAGCCTGAAGACTTGGAACATAATAAAGAAAGCAACTTGTGAAGCAGGGCTTGAGTCCAGCAGACCATGTTCGTCCTTGCCCCCCTTGAGACTTGGATTTGATCACTGAAAAACACCATGAACGTGGCTTGGTGTCCCTGCATGTGGGATGTCCTCCCTTGGCTTCTTGGCTTCAGGCTCAAGCTCGTGGACGACGTCGTTTTGGATGCGTCCGCCTTGCTGAACGCCACTGGTCGAGTGGCCCGCACTGCGGGGCTCGACTTGGAGAAAGCCGGCATCCATGGATCGGCAGAGTGCGGGGGCCGAGGGGTTCTCAGGTGGTTGGGGATGCTTTTGGGAGGATCAGGGATTGAATGGGATTGATTTCACATGGTTTCTGGCAGGTTTGGATGATTGGATTTTCACTGCCTGGCACTTTGTTCGTAGTAATCAGGGCCTCCCACAGAGTTGAAGTTGTAGGAAGAGTAAGATGTCAAGAGGCCAGGTATTTGATGGTTTTCAATACTCATGTGACTCATGGGCGATGGGTACTTACTGCTACCATCATAATGACGTTATGGGCAAGAATCCAATGACCAATGGTTGGGGAGGAAGTTTTGGATACTAGATACTATAGTCTATTTGAGCACATACTGCAATTTCGTTACCAAAAGACTGGCAAACTGCCCGATGTGCATTATATTTTTTCGTGAAGTCTGGTGAGACCCAGCTCTTTGGGCCCTTGCTCAGGCTCGAAGTCAATGAATGGACACCCAGCAGCATTACAGGCGTTTGGCCGGTACGCACAAGGTGACATGTGAAAAACTAGGCGGGCAGGCCCGGCAGACGCATGCTGCATGCTAGTATACCAGTGGGGGCAGAAACATGCCGAAGCACATCAAAACACAATAGAATCATCAGAGACCAGCTCAGAGCGAGAGAGAGGGAGAGAGTTCTGCACCGGAATGGGCGGAGATATGATACTTCAATACATAAACTAAGGAGGTCCTAAACTACCCTAAAACCCATCAGTTGGAGAGCTAAATCAAGAACGATTCCCTTCCCGCCGTGCCGAACACCGCTTTGACTGTAACGCCCAGGCTTCAGACCAGCAACGAGGACGTCTTCGCCGCTGGGGACTGCCTTCCCGGGGCGCAGCGATTCACTCACGCGGCGGAATGGTACCTCAGCTGAGTCCCTCCAAACCGCAGAGCTGCGAGCGATTTTCAGGCTGCGCGCCGGCTGCGCGCCCCAAGTTGTTGTGAGGTTCATTTGCGAGAGGCTTTTCGCTCAGAAAAGTGCATTGTCTCGCGCATCATTACACTAATTAGGTTGAGAGCGGAACCGGGCCCAATATCATTGATCATCCAATCTCGGCTGACTCACCCAGAAGAAATGATATAGTTGGTGCCCATCTCAGGCAAGCACGGGTCGCTGTGCGGAATGCTCTCCTGGATGAGCGCATGGATGCAAGAAGGCCAGGTATATATTGGGTCGACGGTGAATGCCAGACGCTTCAGCACATGTCAGCAACAAGGTTTCCAGCACGAATACTACGTCACACTACTACATACTAGATCATGTTGTTTCAACATACTACAACATACTACATCAACATACTACATCATACTACAATGCTTCCACAATTTCTTTTCCTCGATAGTTCATCAGGTGACGTGCCCAGACGGGAAGTGACAGCACAGAGGCTGAAAACTCGGCTTCAATGCTGGGCGATCAGCGTGATTCAGCTGATCATGCCCCACGTAGTCATGTCACACTGCTGGGTTTGTCTATGGTAACCGTGTTTCTTGAGCAACACGTTGCTGGGCAGATGCGGCTGACTGCCTTCTCAGTAGTGCCATTTACATGTATGTCCATTTATATACTATACCCAAAAGATCACCTCCAAGATGACATCAACTACAGTACTGAGCACTGGTTCCGACAGTTGGGTGGCTTGCTCAAATGCATCATAACTGAATCATAACATGTGGTTTGAATTGATTGAGCAAGCGAACGATGATTTGAATTGGTTTAAGAATGGGCGGCTCATTTATAATTGAAGAAGATCCAAGTGACCCTCATCATCATTAGTGGGCCCCCCATAAATATATAGTGCCCCCCTCCCATATTGAAGACACTGTTACAACATCCCAAGAACCTCCCATGTCGACCGTTCGGACGATCCCCGCCCAAATCGCTTTGTTAGGTTGTTGGTCCCTCGAGCCACCTACACCGACCCGGAGGTAGCCTCGGTGGGGTCTTCGGCCCAGGAGCTGCGGGATGCAGGCCTGGCTTTGTGCCTCTTTGAAAGGTTTGAAGCAAGCACAAAGTGCACTCTAAGTGGAGGTTCTTTGGGAATGTTGGTGAATGGTTGGTGTAGTTTTAAGTGGTTTTGCAGTGGTTGGTGGCCGTGATGGCGCCTTCACGAGGTTGACCAGGTGGTGCCCACTGTGATTCCCTATTCAAAGGCAAGGACTTCACCACCTTCATGCGGCAAGCTGGAGACGTAGATCGCAACGTTTGTGATGGAGTCTCCGGCGGATATGCCTCCCTTCATGTGGCACCAGATGGCGCAGCTCGGATATAATATACTTCAAGAGTTGTCCAATCGCATGCCTGTCGCGCTTCCCCCTTTTTCGAGCTCAACATCTAGGAGTTTCAACATCACAGAGTTTCACTTCACCGCAGGTTGTTTGCCTTTTTTTATGACTCCTTTGCTTCCTGCGGCGCCAGAACCACGCTGCGCTGCCGTTCAGGAAATCTTGGGTGCAACGGTGGTGGGCCGCAATGCCGGTGATCACATCTCGGAGGCCGACGCCACCAGCGACGCGTCGTGTGGAGCGGAGCATGAGTGTTTACCATGTTTTACGGTGCAACATGCGTAGTGAAAAGCAGAATCAGGGATGGTCCGGACTGTTATGTTTTGTCAGTGCCGAAAGCGTGCCATCAAACAGATTGTGACTTTACAGACTGCGGCTGGGTTAGGGTGATGCTGTGATAATTGGATTTGGTGATCTCCAAATGATACTTGTACGTTTCACACTATATGATATGCATATATTCACACATACACTGGCGCCAGTACACTAGCCAGTGTGCACCTTCGCATGTATATTGTGGACGCGCCACGAACAGCGAAAAAACTCGTGCTCCACAGGTGACGCTATGTATGCAGCATGGTTTGACTGCTGCAGAACTGGCAGGAACCATGCATCCATATCCCACGGCTGCGGCTTGGAGTGGTGAGATGGCTTCAGGGAGTGAGATCCCAATGTCCACCGGACCCAAAACACAACGAGTTGAAGTGCCACTACTAGAAAAGACAATCATGAAAAATAAATAGAAACCTGTTGACTGGCAGGCTGATGTCGGTTTCTTAGGAAATGAGGATGCAAGTGATTCATGAAATCTTGGGTTGGCCTTCTGATGAACTTGATTGGCTGGAAACTTGTTTTGCTCCGCTTAAATTCTCACCTGGTGCGCCGAGGAACAAAAGCCTTGTAGTATCGGATATGGCACCAGAAACATTTAGAATCTTAGAATCTCCAGACCTGATACAGAATCCTCAGAATCTCCAATATCCTGAAGATGGCATCTATACTTATGCCAGGTGCCATCTCCAGTCTTGGAGCACTGAAGGTCTCTCAACCCAGACCTTGTCCGACCGTCTCCCACCGTGAGGCCGAAGTGGTCCGTCAAGCTGCCCAGGCCTTTGTGCGAAGTCGGCCACTTGGGGTATTGGAGAGAGACCAGATCTCCCTAATTAAAGGTGATGACCTGATGCTGGATGATGGTTGATAGGATTCTGTGTGAACGATGAGGCCTGTGTGAGAGATGATGCCCTTTGATGCCCTTTGTGAGCTTGAAAACCTTAAGATGTTGATAGAGTTTTTATAAGGGACTGTGGAACAAAGATTGCTTGGGAGAATATTGGCGGCGTAGATTGCAGCTTTAGACAATATACGAATGAACTGGTGTTTATTTTTGGGGCGCAGATGGGCTTGATTTATAGGGGAGGTTTCTGCCAAGAAACATTTTTGTGGGTGAAAACCAAGTGGAAATTCAGCTTTTAGATGCTTTTAGATTAGTCTATTATTAGGGGCCTGAGCTGGGCATGTTTAATATGGGGACGTTGGTTAATCCTAGGTTGACATTATGCATAATTATGCAGTCAGTCAACACACCCAAACTTTAGGCAACGAATGCATCTGAATCTAAACTGAAGCAAGTCCTTGGAATGGGGGTGCATCGCCGCCAGAATATGCAGAGCTAGAATTCGGCATTTGAGCTGTGCGGGTAGTTCTTCTGACGGCAGTTACTTCTCCTTGAAGCTAAATCCAGAGATACCCGCCCATACATTCCGTGCTGGCATGTTGCTACCTCCCTATCATGAGATTTCGTCAGAACGAGCCCCGGCGGCTGAGGATCTTTGACGCGCAGAATCAGGAGACGCTGAAGAGGAACAGCGAAGCTTGTGATTGGGTGCGTTCTGAGTGGAAGAATGGCTTGCACATCATCAGCTTGGATCGTCCCAAGGCTCTCAATGCCTGCAACCAGGTGGGGCCTAACAGTCGATGGGCTCATCGTTTGAGTTTACAGTACATGCTCAGTGGCTGACACTTGAGCCCTTCCACAGCAAGATCCTGATGTGATGTATTTGCACCTACGGCAAGCCCAAATAGATCCCAAAGGAACCGCAGCCCGTTTCACAGAGCCGTGAACTACCTGTCAATCCTTACCCTCAACCCGAACCCGTAGTAGATCCACGACCTCTAGCCAACGATGGAAGTAGAAACCAACGGCAGCTTGTAGAGGAAGATATATAGCCTTCCAGTGGGGCCAATCCACATGACATCCCTGGACCATAGACTGCCCCCACAACACCATGGGCTTCCAATAGACTCCCTGGTTACGGATGGTCTTAGACTACCTATCCAGATCACCAAGTCAAGTGCCCAACCGCACCAAGTCACCGATCCCCTCAGGCCATGGCCAAGTGCATCGCCGAAGCCGCAGCACGACCGGCCTCCGCCGTGCTGTTGCGGGGCGACGGCGGGCGGGCCTTCTGCGCTGGCGGCGATGTGAAAGGCGTCGCCTTGGCCATCCAAGCGGATCCACAAAGTTCAGCAGGTCAGGTGCAAGTAGCACATGAATACAACGCAGTGGCTCAGCTCAGTGCAAAACGAGAAGATGGAGTTCCAGTGATTTGCTTCATGGATGGTATTTGCATGGGATTCGGCTTGGGCCTCGCCTGTGCGGCGGAGTTTCGCATCGTCACCGAGACGTCGCTTTTGGCCATGCCCGAGTGCAACATTGGCATCACCCCCGACGTGGGATTTGCGGCCACAGCTGCCAGCATCACGCCAGGGGTAGGGAAGTGCATGTCTCTCACCGGCTGGAGACTCACAGGGAAGGAGGCGGTCACCTACGGCTTGGCGACGCATTTCATTCCATCGGAGTCTTGGGCATTAATATGGGTGGCTGGAACACTGCCCGGTTTCTGACTGTTTTGTATTTAGTATTGTTGTGTTTTTTCTGAGTTGATTGGCGGCTCATTCTGTGTTGCTATGTAATGATATGTGCTGTAAAGGTGTCCGATTCAATGATACCTAAGACAGAACTGAGAGAAGCTCAGGGTTACAGTTATGTCGCACAAATCCGCCCCATTGAGGAGAGGTTGCCATCAGTGACTGAACACCTGGAGAGTATTGATTGGACCTCTCGCAAAGTACGAGAGGACGTCTTGGAGCTGCTTCAGCGAGAAGCAATACCTGTGGAAAGTTCAGGAAGACCTGATATTGAGCTTCTTTGTGCTGGTTTCAGCATCTTTCGTTGGTGTTTGTCATGGCTTGCCGCCCTTCACGGTTGATATTCCTCTCCAACCGGCAGATGGAGCGTCGTTGTGATATGTTGTGATGCATTCAATGCTACGCCGTAAACGGTCATTGCCCTTGCTTTCCGTGGGGCAATGTGCCACCCCTAGGACGGAAGAATGGACCCGATGGCCCAAGGGACCACCAAAGCCGGTGACCCTTTTTAGCACTCTGAGAGAAATCGACGTGTCACACATGTTAGCGCGGCATAAATACAAAGGCCAAGAGGTTTTCTGTAGGTGTTATCCTTGTTCGTTTCCTTGGGGTGCCCCTAGTCATATAAATATAGTGGCACACAATGAAAACACATACACACATACCCTTATTATATATTTATTATTAATGAACATATATTAGATAGATGGTAGAAGATACAATAGTTGCAACAATCCAGCTGAGTCTTTTTCAAGCATTTTCAGCATAACTATTAAAAACGGTATATCTTGTCTTGTTGGACATTGTGTTCCAATTTGTTTGTCGGTTCCACATCATCACTGATCACTCATCCCAGGCGCATCTTGGAGGAGGTCTTCGTGCCCTCTTCCACGGCGCGCGAGGCCTTCCGGCGGCTGACGCGGCTGTACGCCGAGGAGGAGGAGGAGGAGGAGACCCAGAGTTGGGTCCAGGAGCGTTTAGAGACCCGGAAAAAGGAGGAAACGCCCTGGAAACGGGAATCTCCAGGTACAGCATGGGAGTTGGGCCGTTGGCAGATGAAATGAATGTGAATATCCATGTCCTGGAGACAAACTTGAGGATTTGAGGGTGTCAGATGAGCGACACTGAAGAGTTTGTTGACTGGCGTTGACCAGCTCCAGTTCGATGGTGCACGCGTGTGGTGCTGATAGACAACTATATACTGCTTGAATATCTCGTCCATTTTTTGAGGTTGAGTTTGTGTATAGTGACCGGCGACCAACTTGGTACATGCTCTTCCTGAAAAGTGTTGCTTCATTGTGACGTCGCATACTTCGCACCAAGGAAGGCATGGGTGAGGGCAGCTGCTTGTGCCAGGAGGTGCCATGGGTCAAAGTGTGTCAAAAGAGAAAGCACGTCAGCCCTTTTGCTCAAGATGCTTTGATTGGTATTTGGGTCTACCTTCGAGTTCAAGGACGTTTGAGGGCACCTGTTTCGTTGATGTTGTTCGTTTTTTCTCGTTCTCTCGATGTTTCCCTTGAAAAGGGCCCATGTTTGTTACCGTTTCGCGCTTGATCCACCCCAGGTGATCATGAGGCTTCTGGAGATGGCGGAGTTTTCCGCTAAAGCCGGCAAGACGCGGCATGCGCGCTTGACGCTGGACGAACGCTTTCGGTTGAGGAGTCAGAGTGAAGTGATGGTCGTAGGAGGCAAGGTTGGTAGAGGGACGAAGGATGAAGGTCGTTTTGGTGTATATAACAAAAAGCTATTAGAAACAAGTGCATCGCTAGTAGCTTGTTCTACCTATATAGCCTGGCAACATGGACGCCGCGCACCACAAGACCACCCCAAATGGTCAAACTGTCATAATTTGGCATGTATTTGCAGACATCAATGACCGAGCCATACAATCTTTTCCCTTTTTACCCCATGCATCCACCCACCCTCCCACTACGGGTCACACCGCTTTTCGCGCATGTTTGGCGCGTTTGGTGCGCGGAATTGATCCGAGGATGGAGGCGTTGAGCCACGACTTCGCCAGTCTCAGCCGCCTCTTCGGACGCCCCGACTTCTGCGAGGGCGTCCGGGCTGCGCTCATCGAGAAGGACAAGAGCCCCAAGTGGCAGAATGCAACGCTGGCGGAAGTAGATCCGGCGGAGGTGTACCGGGCTTCTTGGGATTATACGGCTATACGCACGGTTCGTGTGGTGAAATCGATGGAAATCCTTTGGGCATTCTATGGAGCGTTGTGACTTGTTAATACTTTGTTGATATACGTGCCTCATCCGCAAATCCAAGGTTTTGGCACCCTTGCCACCAGCAGAGGCGCTGAGCTTTGGATGACCAGACACCGGTGGTCGATTTGGAGAGTCACCTGGACGAGCTAAGAAGTTCTACGACCCTGTCCCTCAACTGATGCAGCAAGGCAGCACTGACCATGGCACTGAGGCATCCACGGATTGAAACAAACTCCGCCCACTTAGGTCTCACAAGGTTCGCACATCCATGCTGGAAAGCGGCCGGAGAAAGGGTATTTGCATTCGGTGTGTTGGGTGGCTTAGGACTTTTCAAACGTTGCTGCGTCTATCAAAGCAAAAGGATTGGCTTGCAGAGTGGAACTGAAGCCGCATATCATATGGTGGTGAAGCGTGTAGTGCAACATGTGACGAGGGCTGACGTTCAGCATGTTCGGCCAACAGAACACCCTCAAAATCCATCAAACACTTTCATGGCCAGCCTTGGCACAGCGAGAAAGTGGCAGCTGCAATCGGGGCCACACATTATTGGTGCGTGCCAAGTGCTTTGGATTCCTCACTTCAAGCTTTTGACCAAGTGGCAGCGAGCCCAGATCAACTGATTACTAGTATCAAGAGAGACAGTATCACTGCAGACAAATATACTTATTTTATGAGTATTTTATAAAAATGGCGAGAATGTACTAAGTAAAACCGATTGCAACCAGGACTTTACAGGAAGCAAAGAAACTCACTAGTTAGTGCAGCAGACAGCAGATCCAGCAGAACAAGGATAGTTTGTATTTGTTTCGACTGTGCTGGAACATCCCACAATTCTAATTCTGACTCGGGTCCCTAAGTGCCAAAAGGACGTGACAGTGCAAGCAGTAACACAGAAGTTGAGTCGCTCCGGTGCCGAACTCCGGAGTCCGACGCCGATTCGCCTAAGCGGCGCTGGCCAAAGTGCCACATGCCATGCAGCCACCGGAGCGACGCAGCCTGCATGGTGTGTGTGAGCCTTCTAGAGTCTAGAGGAATCGCACAGAAGTGCCAGTCAGAAGTCCAAACAGACCTAACTTGAGGATCGTAGGACCTATATAAATGTTTTAACTAGTGAAGGTATTTGCCAGAGGCGAATAGCTACTCGAGTTGCATATGGTTCACTTAGCCTTAGGATGGCCGCTTTGAATTTGTCCGCTTTGAGGCCTGTGGCTTTTGCTGGCATTGTCAGGCGGGGCTTCAAACGCTTGTTGAAAGATCAAAATGGTGTCAGGATATGGAGAACAAGCGGGTTTTCAGAGTCGAGGCTATCAATGTTGCTGACCTGCGCTCTCAAGCTGCAAGGTGGAACAGATGTCGAGAATGTTTGCGAGAAAGGCTTTTACCAAGAGGACTGCGATTATCGGCCTGTGATGGACAAATCTGAAGTGGCCCACGGCCGAATTGTCCATGTGGCACCGAAGCAAATGACAAGTATGAGACGTTATCAATGCGCATCCCCGAAAGGATGCACCACCTAAAATTTTGCATGACGAGCAGCTCGTTCACATGTTATCTCATCCTTCAACGTGTGGGCCCCAACGTACCATGTCTCCAGCCGATAGGTTGAACAACCCCTTGCGCCTCACCTTTCCGGACCCAAAGTGGGCCTCCCCAAAAAGGAGCATCCAAAATCGCAAGAAGTCTCGAAGTTGCAATGGTCTTCAGATCTCACCACCCTGCGAATCGCATTGGTGAGTGCCCCCTGGACCCTTAGAGCTGACAGAGCGCCAGGATCCTATCGTTTTCGGCTGCCAGGGCGGCAAGGGACGGCAGTCCATGATTCTGACCTCGCGAGCCGCGCGCGGAGCTCCAAGAGACAACGAAGGGATTGCGGAACTCCATGTCAATGGACTTTTTATGTTTTCTGCGAAGGGTTTTTGCGGATGGATTGCGAGCTTGTCCTAGCACAATTGAACCGATCATGAAGGGCAAACATGGCAAGAAATCAGTCAGAATCTAAGAAGTCATTCTTCAGCTTCGGCTTCACCGTTGGTGGACACATCCGAGCTTGTCCCTGCAGATGGTCGGTCATGGTCTCTAGGTTTTTCGTCAACGTCACGCCGTCAGAGTTGGCCGCCAGGGCACAGGGCCAGTTCTCCTGGGAGGTGCCCAAAGATACGGCAGACCTCTCGGTCGAGGCGGGCGGCCAAGAGGTTGAAACAGGGCCTAATGATACAGTTGGAATTCATTTATGTATATATATAGGGTACACATACATAATATATATATATATTACAGTGCTATAGTCAATCCTAGACTCCAGGAATGAAGGCTTCAACATAGATGTTAAACACTCCAAGGAATGCAAGGTTCTGGCGCAGAGAAACTGGTTGGCCTTGGTTTCCCATGTTTTTCCCCGAGAGTTCTGGGGCGTCTTGCCTTTTTGAGATGTTGGTATGTTGGTGACGTATGTTGGAAGTGTGACGTATGAAGTCTTTGGCTCTGGAGACACAACAAATCCAGCAGCCAAGTCAAGCGAGAAACAGAGCTGCAATTTGGCAAGGTATATCACTTCTTAAGGAGCAAACATTGCACCGGTATGATGCCAAAATCCGTGTAACTCGTGCGATGTAAGGTTGTGCAGGGTTTCTTCTGTCAGATTTGCAGCCGATGTGCGCGTGAGGTACTTTTCGAGCCCTTGAAGTCCCTGCACGGCTCAGCCAAGTTGCGAGAGCCTTATATAAAGAGATGTGATCGGCTGGGGGATGCAAACCGATGATTTCATGGTCGAGCATGACGCTGGCTGAGCTTGAAGAAGGATCTGAAAGACAGAAAATCCACCTTATCCCTTGCCAGGGGGTTGGGGGACACGGCTCATGAGTCAAGAGAGAGTGAAAGTTTCAAATGGCTGCAGTGCAATGGCCCCAGATAAGCCAGCCGGTAGTAGGTCTAACGATTTGTGGCCATGCAGGTCCCCAGCGAAGTTCAAGGAGTGGTCGCTGCTGCAGCGTGTGCCATTTTTACCAACATCAACCTGGTGCTCAGTAAGTTCATGAATGGGTGGGACTTCCCCTACCTTTTCTTAGCCGGGCTGGCCGCTCTTTGCATTGCCTTTGCTTTGGCCATGACCATGTTGTGGCAAGGATCCTGGCATTTGGAGCGGCGAGAAGTGAAGTGGGTCCTTCTTGTTGGTCTTTTCAGCAGCTCCGCCAACGCGCTGCACTTTTTGGCCGTGCTCGCCGGCGCAAATGTGGGCACCGTCGGCGCCTTGGCAAGCTTGAACACCGTGATAGCAGCACTTCTAGGGAGGCTCGTGCTACAAGAGCCTTTGGGTAAGGTGCACCTTTTGGCAGTTCTCCTGAGCGTGGTGGGTGCTGTACTGATCTCTGATCCTGTGGAAGTCATGTCCGGCATGGGTTCCAACTTGTTGGGAAATATGCTGGCGCTTTCTGCTGGGATTGCCCAGAGTGGTATTTTAATTTGCGCACGCAAGTCAGGCGGTGCATCCTCAATGATGTTAAGCAATTCTGCTATGGCCCACCGTTGTGTGGTCTTTTGGCTTTTGGCGGCTTTGCCTGCTGTGCCTGACGGCCACTTGCAAAGCTTGGCGATGTCACCTCCCACAAGTATGTTGTTTTTCGTTGGCCTCACCTTACTTCTCCTCTCCGCAAATCGCCTCAGCATGCTTGCTTCCAAGAAATGCCCTGCCGCTTTAACCTCTACAGTGCTCACTGGGGTCCAGATGACCACGGGCTATTTCTTGGACTTTGTCCTCTTCCACCAGGTGCCCAAAGCCTTGACCATGATGGGTGCAGTGCTCATGTTCTTCTCGGTGGTGACCATGGCCTTGACGCGTTTGCCGCACCGCACCGCGGCCGACCCGACGCCCGTCGGCCAGAGCCTGGCATCCTTCGCGGCAGCGGAGTTCGCGGAGCGCGAAGAGGTCAACGAGCGCATCGGGAGCACCGGCATTGGGCCCAGGCAGCGCGCCTCGGCTCTGCCTGGAATCTTGGGAAAACAAACCGCCAGTGCATGAGTGTCACTGCGCGACAGTTTCAGCCTGTAAGAAAAGCATAGTTTGATCGGGTTTTGCTGTTCAAGCTGCTTGGGCTTGATACAAATTCGGTGTATAGTAGGTTTGTTTTGCAATGTTTCTTCTTTTTGCATCATTTGTAGCCTCCAGGGCCAAAATCGGAGTGTCGTTCGCGCCGAGTGACTTTCAATCGCAGCCATTTGAGAGGAAAAAGGAACCTTTAAAACTGTTTGGACGTTCACTGGTCAACACCTACACTGATGATGCATCCTTAAAGGCATGACATCATGACATGTGTACAAATTAATGTATATATGACGTGCAGTTTTGACGTCCATGTTCACCTGTCCTTCAGAGGTCGGCGAAGTGCGCTGACACGGGTGAAGTGATCCTGGGCTTGGCTCCCAGAGTTAGTTGTGAGGGACAATTGGAATTTCCCTCGAAGAAGTTGAAACCGATACAACATATCATATCTGTCAGACTTCTGAAATGCATACACCCGGGAAGATTAACGTGGAACCTCAAAATGGACCATGCATACGCCTGTCATCCCCTATGAAGATTAACATGGAACCTAAAAATTGCCCTTTGGAAGACTACTTGCCTCTACAGTCTAATAGTCTACAGGTTGGTGGTTGCCAGGTTCCATGTTAATCTTCCAGCGTGTTCAGAGTGCCCGGTTGTGTGTGGAAATGCTGCTGGGGTCTCATTGAATTACAATAGGGCCTAGAACTCCCTCAGGAGGAACCCTGTATCATTAGGGCCAGGTTCCATTCCGGCAAAGTTTAAGTGGAACACGGGGGAATGACGATTTCCTGGGCGTGCCTCAATGCTGCTCAAACCTCAACATACCCCAACACATTTCAACCAGCTGGTGTGTGAGTAGATTATCTTCTTTGGGGGGTTGCTAGATTATGCAAATTGGCAATTGCAGTAGTGTAATTATAGAGTTGTTTTCAACTTTGTTGTTGGTAATGCTCTTGCGTCCTCGCAGTGTTTTGCCCCATGATGTGCATCATCATGCGTCGTGTATTAGGTTTGTCCTATTACCTGCAACACTCAGCAAACAACTATCACTATCACTATTTTTGAACAAGGCCTTTAGTAACCATCATCATCCACTGGGGCCTGGTAATGGGATAGACCCAAATCATGTAGATATATAGTTTCAAAGTATTCACCTGACCTGTCACACATCGACCCACGGAGAACATTCAGAGTGCACTTGCTGGTGGATAGGCATTGTTATCACACCCCCAGAGTCGCGTAACGGTTACATTGGAGGATCTCCCATGGGTGATGCGACCCATGAGATCCTCAGTGTTGAGATCCTCAGTGCTGCGGACCCCCCCACCTTAGCTCGGTCACTGCGAGGTGAAACTCAGAGCTTGTTGAACGAGTCAGTCGGGCACTCGCAGTCAGTCGGGGCTGGGGAGTGTTCGTTCGTTGATCTTGCTTGCAATGACTCAATGTGGCGGACTTGTCGCTGTGGCCACTCCTTGTGACACTGAGCGGGAGAGGTTTGAGAGAAAGAAAGCAAGAAGGAATGACATCATTTGATGTGACACCTTCTCATGTTTCATGTATTTGTTTAATATGGCGGGCTGCATGCTATTTCATCAGCAGGCTTGGCCTCTCCAGAACATCGGTTGGATTTTTTGACAAGACCGACCCTACCCTTCCAGGTGCACCAATTCTGGTAGATGATATTTGAGATGAAAAGCACATGAATCCTACGAACCTCCTTGGTCTTCCGGCCCCTTCCTGCAATCCATCTGGGATGAATCCTTGGGGCCGTTTGGGGTACGTGTGTGTGTCCTTCACCCATTTCATCAGCTTTCCTCCTCCAACGGTGGCATATGTGTGGTGAGCAGGTCTTCTTCCCTTGGCCTCACGCTGAGGCCAAACTGGTCACCGCCCATGGCGCCCAATGGTCTTGGAGCAGGGAGGCCCAACCTGACATGAGATGCGCTCAGCGCAATAAGGCATGTGGATCGCAAAGTGTTGCTGTTCAAATCTCAATAATTCAATGATAGTCACTGTGTTTTCTCATGTCTTGAGGGGCAACGAAGGTAGCTAACTGGGATGACGGACCGGACATGAGGGGTGAGGGATTCTAATGCTTGGCCTTTAATTGACCGATTCACTCTAATTACGGGGCCTTGAGGAAGTCTGATAGACCTGATAGAAAGCCTCTTTCTTGCGCTGGGTCAGCTGCCTGGGTCAGCTGACCCCAGCTATCTCCCCTCGCTCTCCCATCCGCCCCGAGGTGGCAATGCCACGCACCGGAGCGGTTCTTTCAGCCTGTGCTGCTGGCCAGCACTTCACCCGGTCGTGCGACATCGTCGTGTGCGCCGCAGTGCTCCTTTCTGCCAGTTGGCTGCGCGTGCATGGTCCTTTGCATTGTGACCTTGGCTTCCGTGTGGAGAATGACCTGGTCGGGGGCCTGGCAGAATTACTAAGCTTAAATAAAACATATGAGCTCATAGTAGGGTGAATGGTGAGGAGGCAGCGATGCAAGCTTCAATCACCAGATGCTTTGTATTGTTATTTTTTTTGTGTTGTTTGATTCTGAAATTCATGTCATTTCCTTGTGCTCACTATATTGGCAGACTGAAGAACATAAGAAGCCCGGATTTCTTTGTCCATCTTCCACAGGTTCCTGAAGTGCAACTCAAACACATTCATCATGTCATATCATGTCGATATCATGTGTATCTAAAGTTGTGCTCAGATTCTGATTCTGCAACTCCTGTGTCACATCATGTCATGACAGAAAGCAAGAAGCACAAGAACTTCAAGTCCAAATCCTCACCATGTTTGACGTGGTTTTCTTCCACCACCGGTGGCTGGCCTCGTTCACCGGCACTGAGGAGTCCAACCTAGCTGCCGATGTGCGCTACTCCTGGCGCCTTGGGACGTGCGAATGTCTGCGGGGGGCGACGTTGACTGACGGGTGCAAGGCTTGAGGAAGGATTTCTGAGGGGATGGATAGCATCAGAAGTAGCATCAGGTAGCAAATGATAGCGTTGGCAGTTGAGTGACCAAGCAGTGACCAGTTCAATTGGCATTTAGCTCCATGACTTCATCCTGAGGGCAAACTGTTTTCGAGTTATTTGAATGCATATCTAATCTCCAACCTTCAAAATGCATTTGCATGTTATTCTACAAATTATTGCGATATATTGTGTGTATTCACACATTGAGCTCAAGCATGACTGACTGGGCAGGTGATCGATGCAGAGACCTAGACCTAGTTATTGTCGTATCAAATGTCATCGTTGGACCACAGAGGCACAAAGGATAAGAGTAGTGATAAGAGTATATAAGACTTGTTTTTCCCCAAACAGTTTACTGTTGGGGTTCTATCTTAGAAAGAAAAGAGCTGGCCACACTCACTGGCCGCGCCCCTGAACTCTGTGGCTGGGCTCTGTGGCTGGGCCTTGTCCTCCTCTTG